GTGGCTTAACAACGAAAAAGAATTATTACGAAAGCCATTATTTATTTCTTTCTGGCTTGCCGCTTCCTTCTTCGTAGACTGAAAACAGATGTCATATCCTTCCTCTGGTAAATTTGGCTCTCCGTGATAGCTTTGAAGTATCTTCTGGTCCTGTAGTTGTAATAGTAATGTTACTTGGTTGTTGTTCGGAAATAAATGAGTACATTAAGCTTAATTATTCTCTTCGATCCTTAGTGTTCAATAATTCTTACCGACCTTAATTTATCTTATTAAAAAATTGATATTACCTCTCTGAACCATGTATTCACAATTCAACGAGGCTGATATTAAATCTAGACTATTCACTGCAGCAGCTTACGTAGCTATTAAAATGAGTAAATTTAGTACAATTTTATTTGATGTGTTTGTCAAATTTTAACTGCATGTCACCAATGAATTTGTACCCAGGTAAAATGCTACTAATGATATAATTAATAAAAAAAAATGTACACTGGAAACTGCTTGCGGAAATTTTTTTTGCCCTTTTATTCGTGCACAGGCGCTTGTGTGCTCTTGCATGCTGAAAAGAAATGTTCGGAGTGAAGTTACTGTTTAGTTTTTGTTAACCTAATAGGTTGCTATTTCTATAACTATAGCTGGAGACTGGTTGCAAGGTCCATATGTCTACTACCTATACAGTACATATGGATATGGTAAAGGGGAGATTGGCCAACTTTTTATTGCTGGTTTTGGGTCATCCATGCTGTTCGGAACCATTGTGGGATCTCTGGCTGATAAACAGTGAGATGCCTTTGCCCCTGATTCATCTTGCTTTTTAGCTGCATAAACTGTCATAACATTTCAGTGTATCATGCTTCTTATGTTGAAATCAGGGGACGGAAGAGGGCTTGTGTGACTTATTGCATAACCTACATTTTGAGCTGCATCACCAAACACTCTCCACAGTATAAGGTCTTGATGTTGGGCCGTGTTTTGGGAGGTATTGCCACTTCACTACTGTTTTCAGCATTCGAGTCGTGGCTTGTTGCAGAGCACAACAAGGTAAGTGATGACAGTATGGTTTTGAAAGTACATCTTTTGTTTGTTAAGAAATTGGCTTTTAAGGATATTTTCATCAAACATTTAAAAATTACATTAGCATTGGGTATACTGTAATGGGGAAACTGAGATCCCCCATGTAATTGAAACTCCTATTGGCATAATAGAAAGTTATACATCCTAAAGATGTTGTCTTTTTTATTGAATATATTCTCAAAATGCTACTTAATATAACTGTTATTGGCAGGCATTCCAAGAGCAAGAAGTCAGAAAGATGCTAGATGCCATCTGAAATCTTATGTCATTTGCATTCTTCAGTTTAGGATTTGCTACATATTTGGTTACACTACCATGTCCATGTTTTATGAAACAGTTGTTGCATCTTTAAATCTTTTAGCTATTGTCTCGATATCTTTGTTGTTGCGCCTTGTGCTGATGATTTCAATTGTTCTTACTTATCATCTGACAGAGGGGCTTTGAACAACAATGGTTATCATTAACATTCGCAAAGGCTATATTTCTTGGAAATGGTCTTGTCGCTATTGTTTCTGGGCTTTTTGGAAATGTACTTGTTGATACTTTGTCTCTTGGACCTGTGGCACCCTTTGATGCTGCTGCCTGCTTTCTTGCTATTGGCATGGCCATCATATTATCATCGTGGTCAGAAAATTATGGTGATCCTTCTGAGAACAAGGACTTGCTTACCCAGTTCAAGGGTGCTGCTGTGGCCATTGCGTCTGGTAAAATTCTCACTTCATATATATGTGGCCAATTGTTTTTGGATGATATTTCTACGCACATGGTATAATTTAGAACTTTGAACTAAGTTATTCATTAAATCTATATAAGGACTGAATTGGTCTTCTTTTAATCATATCTTAGTGTACAATATGCCTAATGTTGGGACTTGGGATTTTTAAGTGATAGAGTTCCCTCTCAGGTCGTTTTCTGGACGCCTGTCATTTAGCAATGCATTTCTATCTGCATCGAATGCTTAATTTTCAGATGGCTTCAGAACAGGAGAATTATTATATTTGTAATTTGTAACCAATTCTAGGTGTTATTATGAAATTGAATGTTTTCAGGTGAGAAGCTTGTTATTTGTATGTATTCTGTTGCTATCAAAGTATTCTTTTATATGATATGTATCCACACACACACACTTGATTGCTTATTTCTTTTGTTTACTTATGGCTACCTCTTTCTGCTTCAGATGAAAAGATTGCCTTGTTAGGTGCCATACAATCTCTCTTTGAAGGTTCAATGTATACCTTTGTGTTCCTGTGGACCCCTGCTCTGAGCCCAAATGATGAAGAGATTCCTCACGGATTTATTTTTGCGACATTCATGTTATCTTCAATGTTGGGAAGCTCACTTGCATCTCGGTTGATGGCTCATCCATCACCCAGAGTAGAGAGCTACATGCAGATTGTGTTTTTAATATCTTCTGCATCACTAATTCTTCCCATTCTGACCAATGTATGCTATTGTTTCAGTTTGCTCTTTCTTTCTTCCCTCCTTCTTGGCGCTTTTTTTGTGTAAAAAAAATTTGAGTTACCTCTCATGCTATTTCACCATGTTATGACTTGGTTATTCTGGAACAGTTCTTGGTAGCTCCTTCCAAGGTGAAAGGTGGAAGCATCTCATTCTCGGGCTGCAGTCAGCTTCTTGGCTTCTGTGCTTTTGAGGCTTGTGTAGGCATATTCTGGCCATCTATTATGAAGATGAGATCTCAATATATTCCTGAGGAGGCCAGGAGCACTATCATGAACTTTTTCCGCATTCCTCTGAACATTTTTGTGTGCGTTGTGCTCTACAATGTATGTTTCTCACCCCTGCTATGTGAATTGCTCAGATTACCAGAGCATGGAATTCAAACTTATTTTTATTTTGAATTAGTTTAAACCTGGAAATTGTTGATATTAACCCTGTGAATAACATGGAATTATCCACTGAACCTTGCGCCTTCTTTCTTGAATTTTCAAGCCTTATTTTTCTGGCATGTTACCCAGTCAGAAAAAAGGATAGTAATTTTTCTCTGTGCCATGCATGTGTAATTCTGACTTCTTATGTCTTGTTTGTGCAGGTTGACGCATTCCCAATCACTGTTATGTTTGGCATGTGCTCTATTTTCCTTTTTGTGGCATGTGTCTTGCAGAGGCGACTGTTGGTGATTGCAGATAAGCCAAGTAAAGACTGTGCACTCTAATCTTGTTTTATGTTGATTTCTAGAAATTGAGTAACAGATTAGGCTTCTTTCTCATATATTTCTGATCCTTTGGGCTTTGGGTCTAATCACCATCCATCTTGTTTATGGCATACCTAAGGCTCTTAAAGGTCCCTCAGCCAACAAAAGGTAATTATGGGAGCTGATTGTTATCTAAACAGGGTGATAGAAGATATCCACTTTTGGTGAATTTTCCTCGTTACATTGGAAGGCTCAGGCTCTTATCAGGGCCCCCTTCCTCGGCGTTTAGTGCCCTAAGTCCTACTCTGTGTATCACTAATTAGAATTAAAATGTGAGCCAGCAACATGCGTTTGTTTTTTGATAGCAAGAATGTTGTTGCTGTATCAACTTTGAGAATTTCTTACGTACACATTCCTTTCTGATTATTTTGTGTTTTTTTTTTATAACATATTTTGTGTTTTAAACAGAAACGGAAGATTGGGAATTGAGGGAAAGGGACTCCGAGTCAGAGCCATTAAACATGTGAATGATGTTCTATGGAGGTTTGGGAGGCTCTGCGTTACCAGATGCTTCATTCTATTACGTACATTGGATTGTGTCTAATCGCCATCAGGCGCTACTTGGCTATGAAGGTACAGCTTATAAAAGAATACTGGTCGCATACTGATCTGCCCAAAAATGGGAGGGAGCGAAAATTATAGGTTGAACAATTTCATTGGTGCTTTTGGCAGAAATACTGTAGTGCAATAGATGTCTCTTGGCTATTACTAGAGGAGAAATCTCCATTTTGGTAGTTCTGATGTTATTCTTTTTGGGGAGGGATCTCCAGTTTGTACTGTTGGGAATGGTATACATGCCGTGCTATTTCTTTTATCGTCTTATTTTTACTATTGTAATGGGAGTTAAACTTACATTCTCTTGATGCATTCTCTTAATCCCCAATTTTCCCCCATGAAATACGCGGTGCATTGGTTTAATGTACAAAATTGAGCGCTTTCAGATGCCAGCGACTGGACTGGTTAGAATGGGTTGTATGGGTTTACTTTTGACTCTATCAGTCCCTACGCGCGTATTGTATGACATCGGTTTGGTGCTGATAATAATTATGCATCCTTTCGGATTAAGTATAAAATTGTTTTAAATCTCTCGTCCTTCGTCACCAGATGAAAAACTAGAGATGCTTACCAATATTTCAAGGCACTTGGGGGTTGTCTGATTTTCTAGAAGTTGGTGATTTAGCAAGGCATACAACGTATCATTATGAATCCACGCATTTTATGTAAATCATATCTTATCCTCGATTCTTAATACAAGAATTAGTTAACTAATTTAAATAGATTTAAAAAATTGATTTAGTTATTTATTTGTAATAAATAGATATTATGTTTCTTAAAATATTTCTGTTAATCATGTATATTAGATAAAATTATTATCTGCTGAAATTTTAAACATATGCGATTATTATTATGATTATTTTAATAGAAAGCAAATAAATGAGAAATATAATATATTAAGATATTATATTTAGAACCAAGTTAAATGGCAAACTATCTCTTATATTAAAAGATTGGAAGTAATATTGGTCATCCTAATTGAATATTTATACAGTAAAATTAATGGGGCCAACGAAATGTCTGACGTATCATGCATGAACGATGAACCCATGAAAACAAGATTCCATGACGAGCTTTGATTGAAGAATTTACGGCAACTCTAATTTAATAAGCGCATGAATACATGATCAAATCAATGCCAGTGTGCGCGCGTGCATTAAATAAAAATTGAAATAAGCCATATACTCATTCCTCATGCAATGTACAGAAAGAATTCTTGTTTAATACACGTGAAATTGTGAAGATCTATTTTGCTGGTGGCTGCCCAGACAATTCATCGATCAGCCCAACCCTCTGAAAGAAAACCTCCAAGAATAAAACCTACCTAAGATAAAACATCTATATTCCAAACACAGAATCAATTGGAGAACAAGTAAGAATCAGGGAGGCAAGGGTGAGGAAATTTTGAACCATTTTATCGTCTAACTAGTACGAAGCAATGGTAAAGTGGATTGAATCAAACTATTCAGCTTGCCTCTCAAGCTACTAACAGTATTCTCCAGTGCATTACCTGTCTTCTCAACGGGGAACTCGTTGGCCTGCAGCAGCTGGAGCTGCCTCTCCAAGTACCTAATAAGACTGGCATCAACAATGTTAATGAGACTGAATGAGGCGTTGGTATGCATAAATCTTGTGAGAAGAAATCCGGCTAGAACATGGTGACCCGCCTTCACAAGCTCAGATATCAATTGAGGGAAAAGGATCCTTCTGAAAAGTAATCCATTCCCGTGATCATCGTTATTTTTAATCCCATTCTGAGCATGACCAGATAACAGGTCTGCTTGGCATTGATGAGATAAGTTCCCAATCAAATAGCACACGTAAGATAAAGTTGCACCAAAGGTAGAGTCGGTGATGATAGAAGTAATGATCCCAGAAGATAAAATAAGAATTAAGAAGTCATGGTCCCCGCAATGTTTTCTTGGGATGCCTTGTTTTAACTTTTGCTCTACCACCCCTAGGCACTGCAACTGCAATGTCTTGTAAGGCAGCAACAATGTCATCTTCAAAGCATTGAAGCAATCCATGTTAAGTGCTATCTGGCTCAAGCTCTGGGCATCATTCTCATCAAGCAATATTCCACGGGATTTCACTAATGATCGATCAATCAGTCTCATGACATCACTAAACCTGGATAGGCTGATGAGTTTTTTGAAAAACTCCGTCCAACAAGCATGTAAAGGGTGAACGGAAATTGAGTCCTCTTTCTTGTCCTCCGCAACATTTCCTACTTCCTCAAGGCTTTCCCATCCCTCATCCCAATCATCATTGTTCCAGTCATTTCCTCCGTCAGCTACTTCGGCAGTGGTTTCCCCATCTCTGCCAGGATTGAAAAGACCATCCCACTCATCCAAAACAGCCACCAACGCATCAAAATGGATGTCTGTACGGGCTTCACCACACAATCTGCAAAAGCAAGAAACAGCTAGGTCCACATTTAAGAGATCATCAGGGGTAATTTCTATGCTGGGTGATATTGATGCCACAAGTTGAGATGATTTGAGAGCTACCAAAGTATTTGTAAACCTACTAGATGAATCTTTCTGATCTGATATCCCCTGATCAACATCAGTCTCACTCTTTCTACTAGCATAAAGCAACTCATCCCATTCTTCCCATGGCACGACATTGGCTTGTATTTCATCTGAGAAACCTTTGATATTTTTACTTGAGATGAACTGCAGAAGTTCTAGCACATAAACTCTTATGGAACTTGGTAGCTGTAGATCATCTGAGAATTGGACCATTCTTTCCCAAATTACATGTCTGACACATTTCATAACTTTTACATCACCTTCTAGCTTGCTTAGAGACGACAATATATGACACAAATTTTGGTTCTCATGGGATCCACTGACTAAATCATGCAGAACGGGTTCCAGAATATCTAAATAGAAACGGGGAAGACCCTGGGAACCTGCGCCACAATCAGAAGCTGAACCAGTTAAATACTCCGATGATACAACTGAAAAAACTTCTGAAATGGCTCCAAATCCACAACCAGAAAAAACCATAGCTCTGCAGAAATTATAAATTTCTATGGCCAAACCACCAGTTAAACCACTGTTGGCATAGCCAACTAGGGTACCCCAGCCCTGACTAGGGGAGATGACGTCCTCCATTACCAATCTCATGAAAACCTTCAGACAACCCATTAAGCATTCTGGATTAAAGCTCATAGTCGCTCCTTTGTTTTCCTCCAATACAATTTCCTTCATTTCATCAGCTAACTTCATCCAAAAATTTAGAAGAACAATAAGGCAGTCTTGCCATGCCGAGTCATCAGGTAGATATCCGTATGAACTGTAAAGGGGCAATATAGCAGTGAAGTATTGCTTCAAAATCCCCAAAGCATCAGAGTGACTCAGAAGTCTAACATACATCCGGCACAAATCATATGTCTGTTCAAGCTTACTAATAAATCCCTGAAGGTACTCTGGAGTTCTGATACCAGAATCAGTAGTAGCTCTAGTCTCCAAAGCTCTCAGCATATTCAGTATATAATACTTATAAACATCTTGCCATGACATGAAATCCTGAGGTAATGCATCGTGGAAAAAATTGACAAGAGCCTCTACCATTTTTGCCAAAGCTGACAAGCTATTGTCATCAATATGTGCATAAACTTCCCTGCTGAAATACTCCAAGTTCAAACCATGTAACCCAGCTATATTTTTGAAGTTCAGATTTTCAATAAAGGAAACATTTCTGCACTCCTGCTCGATGACCTTGTAATAATGAGCTAACCAAAGATTTTCATTTTCTCGATCATGGTGCATTGATGGTAACAATTCTTCAGTTTTAGCCAGCTTCATGTAGCAATCCGACAGCAGGTTGTATATATAAGCAAGGCGAAGCTTGTTGCACCCATCTACTGCAGGGTACACAATCATTGTTATGGTTTTGATGGTTTCAGCACCAGTAACAAGTATGTCTCCTTTATAATTTGTAATTTCTGCAGTAATATCGTCATTCATCCAAACATCAGAAACAAGGACAGCACTTAGGAACCGCAGTAATACCTGAAAGGAACAGAAATAATAAGGTCTAATCAACTAATGGATGCATTTTAAATAAACGATTAACCTTTCAAAAAACAAGCAGGCTGTTGAACATGTAGAAGCCCATCAAGCCCTGGACCGCCTGAAGCATAATATTGGTCTACATCTACCTTACACTGAAGCCTAACGTTACTTTACCCTAAGCTATAAATGACACAACTGAAGGGCGCAGGGACATAACTACGAACCACCAGCCCAAAGACGCTCAAATATGCCTGTAAATGGGGCAAATCCTCTTACCTCAGTACGATTCAAGCCATATGTATCAGCTAATTTTAACAAGTCTTTCAAAATGTCCTTTTTCTCAAACATCACAGACTCAATCAGAGAGCGAATAACACTCTGAATATAGGCAGAGTCCCCAGACAAAAAGCGTTCTGTTTCAACTCCGGGAATTATTTTTTCCAGAGCTCTGGAATGCTCAGTCAGACGCTTTTGCTCATCTAACTTCATTTTCCACTCTCTCCAAAATGAGGACTGCACTTTACCAATTTTATTGATGTCATCTGCAAAACAATGAAAATGCAAACAATAATATTTTAGTAGTTATGGTACCAGCAAACTATGAAAAGAAAAAAATTACAATTACCCCTCCATGGTTTATAGAGCATCATGTGGTTTGTTTTGCCAACTCTTTGTTGAAAGCACGTTTCAAGGCTAAATTAGGATTAAGTTTACATTTTGAAATTGAATTGTTTAATTAATACCAGCAACAGCCTCATGCTCACATAAGTCATAACAATATGAAAATGTTCAAGAGTGAAATAGGCATGCAATAATGAAATTATTCATTGTTTTAACATTCCTGTAATTGTAAATTTGGATATGAAATACCACTTGGAGTGGTAATTGAACAAATCATGGGTGTCGGATGTGATTCAACAAAGAAAATGTAGAAGAAATGACCCTCAATCAAATTTCAACCTGATTAATTCTTTTGGCCAAATTTCAGCCTAATTAATGAATTATGCATTTAAATGTAACAGCATGTGTGTGTGGAGAGAGAGAGAGAGAGAGAGATATGGAACCCCAGAGACAGATAGGTAAAATATAGACAAAATGAATTTGAGAAGTGAATAACCAGAACTGGGTGGTGAATGCTTCTCTCTAAATCTCCTCTGCAGTAGCTCCCTCCTCTGTGCAGAGTTTGTTCCAATTCCAGAGTTGTGCAGTAAGCTGTATGTCATCCCCACATTCACAATGCTTGAAACTTCTTGATAATCTTTTCTCATTTTGAGCTGCTCTTCTATGATCTCCACCCCATTAAAGGCATCCACAAGATTCAAAAGGTAGGAGCATCCGATTAAATCTTCCTCTGCAGTAACTGGTGGCACCATAATTGATTTTGCTAGAGAGGCAATCAGATTGTCTTTTGGGGCAAATCCATTTCTAGCCAACCAGGATAAAATGGTTACCACAGCATGGGTTCTCACATTCATGTACAGCTTTCCAGTATCAAATTTCTTATCAAGTTCACTCTTACTCAACTCAAGCAACCATGGGAGTTCTAAAGCGGCAAAAGCCAGAACTTTCCCATTTTCTGTCAAAACCGATGCCCAATCTGCATCATTTTCAACAGCCAAGGTTTTAGCTACAATGGAGACCACATCTCTAACTTTATCAAGATGAACATTCTGGTTGTCTGTGCTACCACTGTCAAATTCTTGAACAAAACCTTTAAGGTATGATATGTTTGGAGTGCTTTTCTCAGAAAGTGGGCCAGCAGATGATCCTGCAATTGAAAAGTTTGAAGCAGTTGTTCCTGTGGACATCATTAATGTCTCACACTGACCTTGCATGTCCAGATCTTTCCATGCATGGAGAAGCTCACCAATGGACTCTTCATCACAGTGACTCAAAGCAAAACCTAAGAGTTGCTTACGAGAGTTTACATCCATGTTTTCAAGAGCAGGACCCCGTGCAATCGCAGCACATAAATCCCATATGTATCCATGCCCTTTTTTTACCAAAACAAGACAAAGATCAAATGCCAATTGTAAATCACCAGCAACAGCAGCTTCTCTAGCAATAGCTTCCTCGACAGCTGATATGTCATCTGGTGATCGTAAGCCGAGAAGTTTAGCAACGTCAATCAGTTCATCCACATGCAAATATGCTCCCGATTGACTTGTGATTGCCATCTTTACAATGTCCATTGGATCTACTATTTGCCTGAACTGCATAGGTAGAAGTGTCACTCCAAGGTTTGGGAGCTTAACTGTTAGCGCCTCAATTATATCAGCCTCCTCCTTCACATTTGCACTACTTGGATATAGATTAAGACATTCTTTAGCTTTCCATATCTGAATCAAGTTGCAGTGAGTGACTAATTAATTTAAGTAATTTAAAAGGAGGTTAGCATAAACAAAAGGCACTACCACAATATCCAGAACGTCAATTTAATGAAGAAATGGCCTGAAAAGATGAGTTAGATAGCAATTACACTCTAAGGTTTCAGGTAGCAGCCTAATATTAACTGATTAATTTAATTAATTTAAGAGAAAGTTAGAATAAACAGAATGCACTAAAAGAATATCCGGAGCTTCTGTTTGGTGAGAAAACGGCTCCAGAAGGTGATAGCAATTACACTCTAGGTTTCAGTTATCAGCCTAGAATCTCTCTCTATCTGTGTTTTTTTCACTTCTTTAGGCCCCCAACAAGGTGGGGGGATATGTCACTATATTAAAACTCCTAGACATTTTAGGGTGCCTGATGTTTTCTATGAAAATTTAGTAAGCCACTTTTCATGCAAAAGGGTGACATTACAAATATGTCCATGGTACAGTTAACAAGTTAGTTAAAACTTACTTCAGAACATGCAAGACTTGAAGCCGAGAAAAAATACTCCCTAGCTGCTTGAATGACAAGGCTTTCAGCTTTCTCTGCTGCCAAAGCAACTGAATTAGTACCCTTCAAGTAATTTCTAGCGAGCGAAAACTTCCCAGCTTTCAGAAGTCCTCGACAGTATTCAACCAATATATACTCAAGGTCCAAGAAAGGAAACGCTTTTTCCCTCAGATACTGCATATCACGCCACATGTTGGCCCATTCACTATCTGATCTGCCAGGCTGACGGCGAATAAATTTTGACAGTATGAGGCGAATAATCTGTTTCACATTCTTTCCATCTGAATAAGCCTCTAGGAAAAAGCTTAATGGCTTGGGCACCTGAAAAGATCCGTAAGTATATGGTGAAATCCTACTAACTTAAGAACTATGATTCAAATACTCAAGACCTTAACTTTTAAAATCATACTGTAAACTTGTTTTATAACCCATCTATAACATAATAAAGTCTAGGTAAAAAAGCAATAATCTACCACAGTGAAATCCACATTAAGACACAATTCTTCGATTATTTTAATGTCAAGAAATTATATTCAGGAAGAAAGAAAACAAAGAGAAAACTAAGATAACCTCCTCATGAAAGGTTAAGATTGTAACAGATAACCAAAGAAAATAAAATAGCAAGTTCATCAAATAGCAAAGTGCCCTAACAGATAACCAAAGAAAATAGAATAGCAAGTTCATCAAGTAGCAAAGCTGGCCAGTCCTTCTGTATATGCATAGGAAACAAGTTTCGCAGATAAATTGAGAAAATACAAACCTGGTAAAATGCCAAAAGCCTCCCCGCTTCAATATGGCCTTCTGCAACTCTCAGTCTTCTTTCAAAGTTCTCAACTTGCAATGCACCATCTGAACATTTAGAAAAATCTATTACACTCAATGTTGAGTACGAAATGTTAATGAATCAATTGTATAAACAAATATTCATTCACGATACACATAAACATACATAAATATGCTTAGCGAAGGGACATAGGACCTTTGTGAATCAAGAACAAGCACTGCCCAACTTGAAAACAAAGTTATAATGCAATCTCATATGCAATGAAAAAATAGCAAAACAATATCGAACAGCTAGGACACTGAGTTGCTAAAGACATGCTCACAAGAAGGAAAACAATGACAAACTCACAAGGGTTAGCCTCAGTATAAGTCATGAAATAATATATTTCTTGATCACAAGTTTATAAAACATGTCAGATATGGAATCTGGTTTTACTAAGAAAAAATATTGGCCACAATAACACCAATAAAACATTTGAGTTCTTGTTTTCATGTAAATGGAGCGACGTACAAAAATAAATTCAAGATGCTAGAGGCATATGATGCCATTTCAGTGGGAATCTCATACCACCCAAAAACCAGGGGATCAAAAATCCCCGAAGTTTTAGTTTGGTAAATGTAAAAAGCCAACTATTTAAATTCTATGATAAAATTTTAACCATCATATCAAACAGGAATCTTATACTATTCAAGATATCGGGGAATATAAGAAAAAGTTTATTGGAAATATATACCAATTTATTTCACATCAAATGAGCAATAAACCATGCCTTAACAAACTATGAAAGGTTATGACATATCAATAACATTAAAATATCAGAATCATACCATGCAATTGAGGAAGCTTAGATAATATTGCTGCCATGATGCTCCACTTATCTGTGACTGTGGTTAAATATATGCATTGCAAAGCACAATCAACCACTTCAATCTCATTTTTGAAGAAGGCATTACTTTGAAAGTCTCTGCACCCTTCCTCAATCACCGATAAGCATATATCCAATTTATTCTCCAAGGCATTTTCCTTCAACCATCTGACTAGAAATGACTCCTCTTCGTTTTGATTTGCAGAATTGCAAAGATGAATATCTTTTACTGTGGGTATCTTATTAGACCTTTCATGCATAAATGGAATTGCTTTGTTGCATAATTTTTCAGCCACATTTTCCTCATTGACTCCCTTAAGCATAATTTTAAATTTTTCGTAATCTGTTAATTGTTCCCATGTGACAAGACTCATGTTGAAGCATGATTCACCATCATTGTCATCAGAGTAAATAATTTGGTGCAAGTACAAGGCATCCTGACGAAACTGCTGCAATTCAGATATACCTTTGCGAATACCAAAGTCAAGGAAGCTGAGGCAATTATCCAACTGCCCACTAAGACAATCCATAGCTCTAGCTCTATCTTTATACCACTTTGAGAGCTCATTAGTTGTTGGCCAGTAAAATCCAGCACTATGCTTGACAATAGGTTCGGTTTTCACTTGGATGCTAATGTCATGGCTATTGACTGACTCATTAATGAAGCGAATCATTTCATCACATTCAACCCAATCATCTTCCCTCACAGCAACACCAGAAGGAGGAGACCTTCCAGGAAGAAGCTGCCCATATGTTTGCACAGGAACTGTTTCCGGAATGGCAGCTAAAATGTCCAACATGGAAGGGGTCAATGAATACGGATGACGCTTGAAGAGCAAGTTTAGGGCACCAATCTTTCCACTTTCTGCCAGTGCTATGGCAGCCTCACTAATAGGCATGACACGAAATTTGCCGTATTCCTGCACAGAAAACCTGCACAAAACTTTGTCAATGAACTTTGAGTCAGTAGAAACCATTAGAATAAATGAACGAAAATAACTGCTGAATGACTAGTTTAAAGTCATCCAAGAGCATTAAATTTGCACGTGCAAACATTTATTTAAGCATATAGGTTATGTTTATGAGGTGTTGCAGAATGCAGAGAGTGGGGATAGAGAAAATGGTCAACAAACAAACATGAAATTAAGATGGCTCTGTGCACACCTCACTCGCAGAGAGCATTCGATAAGCCAATTCCAATTTTCTGGTTTTTGTACGCATTGATATACAATTCCGAAGTTGCATAAGTAATTTGTGTAGGGTTCATTATCCAATCTAATTAACATGTCATAGCGAAAATGAATATATTTTTATAAAAACTCAATATTATTATTAGGAAATTTGATTGATGGCAAATTGTTAAAATATTCGTGAGCATTACGTGGAAGAATGAATAAAAACTAAACCTTTCTTTTATTTCTCAGTTTACAAAATTACTAAATCACGTAGGATGTACCCACAAAAATTAGAGTTGGAGAGAACATGCACTTCCTATTTTATAGAAGTATTTGTAGTTTTCCCCTAATAAAAATCTCACGATTAATGTTTGTAAAGTATAAGGAGAAATTCTTACCCACGAATAGTTTTACTCTTAGGCTTTAATTTGTGCACTTCTTGCTTTACAAACACACAGTGATATGCTAGTGGTTCAGGGGACTTTGCAGACAGACCGGGTTTATACAGTAGTGGATTCTAGAAAAACTTTTTTCACCCCAGATTAACCATTTATCCTTTGCTCTTCTCCATTCCATTGTCAATCTATTGAAAGGTAAATTTGGAAACCCAAAAATTCTCACAGCAATGCCACTTTCCCTCTCGATGGAGAAATTAACCTAATTTGAAAGTGTATCGTTACATGGGAATAATAGACAGTTGAGAAAAGGTCTGTTAGTTACAAGACTCTCCTACTAGGATAAATAGGGAGATATAGAATTGTGACGGGTGTCTAATGACTGAATAAACTCTTCTTACATTTTCCATGTATCCCACAATGCATATTATTATGAAGACATCATCATTTAGGGGATGTAGGAGAATATAAAGGCCGGACAAATTGTGGAATAAATGCAAGAAGAAACACAAGGAAATGAGCCAAAACATTAGAAGGAAAATGTTGCATGACAGAAAATAGTATCTAAACAAAACATAAGGTCCACTCTATTTGAAAATTAATATTTATTACTTTCAACGTTACCTGCCCATGTTTATTCCAAGATATGTTTCAAGCCTGTCTTTAAATTGTAATAACCGAAGTCTAGCCATGCGAATATCCCACACTTGACTATTGTTATGATAAGTTGCTTCAGAAAATCGATTTTGGTCAGTGATGCGGAGACCATATGCAAGCAGAGCCTTCACTGCATCCTCTGTTGGTCCAATTCTTTCAACACACTCAGAAAGTACGAAATCTCGATCCTTAATTTTCGATAAAAACGTGTTTATTTCATTGGATCCTTGGTCAGAATTCACCCACTGCGACTTCAGAACTTCATCTTTATCCAGTCCATAACTATCAGCAAAATTTAGAGCATCCCGAAACCTTTTGCGGCTGATTAACATATCATACATTTCAGAAATAGATTTCTCAGAAAATGAAACAAGGCACCAGTGCAACCTCAAAAAGTGAATCTGATTCAGTGCATCTTCAGTGACCCACTCCATCCGCTGCAACTTATCTAAGGCCACAACATCAGAAGAATCATAATTTTCTTGGCACAAAAAACTTGCCAAAAGAAACTGGTGGCCTTTAGATGTTGCTGCCTTCTCCAGAGCAGGCATAAAGTATGCAGGATCATCTTCCTGAACTTTTGAGCCATCAAGGATGTCAATCAGCACAGCCACACCACTCTTATTGACAGTAGTAATAATATGATCAGACCACCAAGTAAAATCCATAATATCCACAAAAGATGCCCTCCCTCCTTTTGATAAATTATCAGGATCAGGTAAATCATCTCCCTTTCCCCATGAAAATCTAGAGAGGGTAAACCTTTCTTTGTCCAGTTTAAAAATTTGCAATGACCCACTCAAATCTAGAGTCGCAATAAAGGTGCCTTCTGTTGAGATTAGCACCTTCGGATATGTTAGCTGACCTTTAAAGCCTTTTGGTTTCAAATAGATGCCTTCAAACTGAACAGAACAAAACTGCTCCAACTCTGCGCTCGCACTTTTACGCCACAGAGTAAGATAGCCGGACCCTACAGAATCGGGCATAACTAGTGAACAATAAAGTTGGAACAACAACAGACAAGTGCTGTGAAAAGTTCTATTTTCCAGTTTTCAGAAGACATTAAATCCTTAAAAGCAAATTTCATCAATAAACTACTCCCTTAACCAAATAAAGAACTGTGGTTTCTGTGCGTAATTTTGAAACATGAGGAATCTGTGCAGATGAATCAGAGCATGTCAAACACGAAAGCATGTCCAGAAAATCTCTCTCAACAGAATATGGCAAAAGGTCTATGAAATGCAAAAGTGCTTCATGCTTAGAGAGATTGTTGAAAATACAAGAAAAGCAAAGAGCTCAGGTTTATCTTGCAGTTTCTGAGCAATTCACCATACTTTAACAAGCCCAGATGAAGATCCTGTGGGACGCCAGAACTTTAATTTGGATGATAAAATGTTATATATTAGGGAGAATGTAATATTTCTTTATTTCTTAAAATTGATTATCTCAATCTGACCAGGCAGAAGTCACATGTGGAATTAACAGAAGAAATAGCCTGAAATAATCTAGTCACCCCCACTCTTCACCATGCCTGAAACCAAGAAGTAAAACAAAGCTTGCATCTATAGGGAAAATACCACTCCAATCCACAATCAACAATTATATAGCACGATGGATAAATTGGAAAAAAAAAAAAAAAAAGGAAGAAGAAGAAACATACCAGAGCTTTTGCCAGATGTTAGAGACGTGGTGGTGGAATAGGCAACAACTACAAAAAGTTTAAGTTCATGATGGTAGTCAAAGGCACAGACATTGTTACAGAGATGCTTCCTGTGATCAGAAATCTGCTTGGAAAAGGAGACACTTGGCTCATAACTGATCTCAATATGTTGCAGTGAACCATCTAATGTAATGACAGCGAACCTACAACTAGAAAAAAAACAACCAACATTTCAAATTCATATTCCTTTGTCACGTGGTTGCTTAAATTCTACTGACATGTCTTGTCATCCAAAATAATAAAATGACAACCATAATTTCTAGACCAGCAGGAAAATGATCGTGTTTCATTTACTTCTAACAGTATGATGAAAGAAAGGGATACAGATGAAGGAAAAATACTCACAAGAAAGACTTCTGCGTATTTAAATCACTATCGGAATATATGCCAACTATTTGTGAAGATACTTTTAAATGCTTCTTTGTAATTTCTGCTATCACCTCACCATTCGCCTTGATAAAATACAGTGTATCAGTATCATCAGCAATCCCAAGAATGTCACCATCCTCAGACCAAGCTCCTACACTAAATGTACAAAGGCTGCAACCTAGTGGACCAATTGCACATAAGAAGCAAATTTAGAGAGAAGCCCCCAGAAAGAAATAATTTTTCAACTTCAGTTTTCCGCACTAAATAACACCATTTAAGCCCAAAATGTTTTTCAATATCATTTACTCCAACCTGTATCACATGCTGTTACAAATTGTAGGAGACAACTTTCCTTTCAGACGCTTGCCCTAATAGGCCAATGCAACTGATTCGTGTATGGTTTTCTAGACTGCATTAACATCTCTAGTCGGATTCACATAATCTAAAGACTCAAATAAGCAGGTAAAAAGACGGGAGGGGCTGCTAAATCTTATCCTATATGAAATGTGCATATCATATAACATGATGCTTCCTGTGATATATGACCGCATATAAGGTTATCAGTTTTCTTATACGTTCAAATTGTTTTATTCATGTCTAAGAAAGAGCTAAGAGTGATGTAATCCAATATTTACATTTCATAATACACTTTATGCTATAATTTATTTTTTTGAAAAATTATTGTGCGATTTATAAGTAGATAGAATGCATGCTGCAAGATCCTGTCTGATCCACCAGAGCACTATCTATTAGAATATATATTGATTCAAGCATCAATTTTACAAAACTCTCAAATTGAAATGTTCCAAGATGATCTGATACTTAACATCCATTGATCCACAGAATACAAATTTATGGACAAAAAGAATAAAATCATACTAGTGAAAATGCCACATGGCTCCCGGTAGTCATCCTCTTTACTCAGAGTAGTTATTTGATTTCCAGTAGCAACAGCAACATGTTTGCCTCTTGGGGAAATAAACAGGGATATAAGCCTTCTAAGTCGTTTTGGCTGATTATATTCTGTCCATTTCTCTTTGAGTTGACTGACACCTTCACAAACGAGAGAAGCATAAAATTAATTTAAAGAAAACAACGTAGGTTATATTCAAACTATAAACTTTTGAATAGTTCAGCTTTTTGCCGAAACTTGTCCTTAAAATATGCATCTTATGCAACTGGTATCACTGAGAAAATTTGTCATTACATTCTCTGATAGAAAGTACAGGCAAAAGAAAAAAATAGTGAGGCAACAGTTAGTCCTCAAAATGGCTAACTTCTACATTTCCCCTCCACCCCATCCACAAACTCTCAGAAGCTGTTTTTTTTGTTTTTTTTGGTACAAGGACAACACAAAGGTTTAAACCTATGATCTCTCCTAAAACTGCCCAAAGCCTCGATGCTCCTTGTGAATTTGATTCAATGCAGTTTGTATTAACACATGAAATTCATGCATGTTAGCAACTTCACTTCAAAGCACACAAGCACCCACAAAAAGAGGTTAATGTTCATAAGGAAAAGCTCAATGATGAAGATGAGTTGGACCTGAACCCATTTTTACGGTAATTCAATAAGCAGCTGGTGAAGAAAGACTACATAATCTGCCGCTACAAGAATCTTACTACGCAGATGTTGGCTCAGATGGTTGTATATAACCTTCAGTTTTAGTGAAGACGGAACATGTTGATCAACTTAACAACATGAACATAGGCGAAAACTCCACCCTTCTCAGACAATTAATGAACAAACCCATCCGAAAACAAATATATGAAGACCAAAAGAAAGACGATAAGGACGGAAGCATTTTCGCTACTCATCAGCAAAACAAGTGCAATGAACTTCTTCAGAAATGTACGCCTCAGAAAACAATGCTGAAAATCCAGGTATACCTCGAACCGAAAGCAAGTGTAAGAGGCCTCCCTTAGCACCTTCATTTACCTGAATTTGAACAAAAACAGGGTAAATGAAAAATCAAATCAATAACGCTAACTAAATTTCGCTACGAATTTCGCGGATGATCCGACACATAGATAAGATGAAAACAAATCAGGAAAGTGAGAGGAAGAAGAGGTGGATGAGATCTTCAGAACCTGGTATGGGGAAGGGAAATTGGAAGTGTAGGTTCCCGAAGCGTGACGTCGCGTCTCGTAAAGCAGTTTCGGTACGGATGGCTCCTCCATGCAAGGCATCAACTGTATCTTCGTACCCCCAGACATCAAAAAGTGAACCGCATTCGAGTGCGTGGATGCGAGACACAGAAATCAGTCCAGCGAAGGAGAGAGATGACTTCGGTCTGATGTCCCATGATCAATTTTCATCATTTTTATTTTTGGATTGTTTTCCCCGGTCTTTTTGTATCATCCTGCCCTCTCCCGTTGGCCCAATTGGTGGACGAGGGGAAGACGGAGCTAATGAGAAAACTTTTGGGCCTTAGGCCCATATAATCAGCCCAGTTGACTCTTCCATTTCCTCCTGTTATGCTTTTCACCAAACTCATGATGAAAAATAGATTAATCATTCCTTAAACAACGAGCTCATGAGCTACTAATAATATACTTCCTCCGGTAGTTAACTAATTTGAGTAGATTAAAAAAATAAGTTAAGTTAGTTATTTGTTATAAATAGATGTTGTATTTTCTAAAATATTCCTGTTAATCAGGTGTATTGGCTAGAACTATCATTATTAAAAAAATTACTTTAGAAAAAAGGGAAAATGGCAGATAAAGAAGCTCCAGAATGTGAAATGCCAATTTGGGAAGCTAAGGAAATGTAATTACCCATAGGGAAGTCCTTCCCAAATTAGAATTTTGAAATTAAGTGAAATGACAAAAATGTCCTTTGTTCTTTTTTTTTTAAAAAAGAACCCAACCCCTCACTGGTGGCCGGAGACCGGCGACCACCGCTGGCGACTGGCCTCCGGCGGCCGCCGATCGCCTCTGGCCACCGGCGCCGGCCACCGGTGTGGTGGCTGCCGGTGAAGGATTTTTGTGACAAGATTTTTTTTTTTTTGGAATAGGATAATATTGGTTCAAAGTGGCGGGGGTGGGATTTGATCCCACAACCCCTTGGCCACTTGGACCAACAAAAGGATGGCCATTGGGCCATTAAAGATTTCTTAACATTATAATGCAAACAAAAATATAAGTTAACTTTTTTACTGTGACTCCAGCTTGTGACAACAATTTATCTGAGGATGACAAGTCTTAATTGAGAAATAACAAGTCTGAATTTGATATTAATAAAGCAACTTTTCCTTATACATAACAAATAGCAGCATGTGCATTAATTAAAAATGATCATAATTTATTTAAAAATGACACGTCTTTGTTGAAAAATAACAACAATTTATTCGGTATTTCTTGTTATGTATAAGGAAAAGTTGTATTGTTAATATCAAGTTTAGACTTATCATTTTCCAGTAAAGACGTGTTATTTTCAAATAAATTATGGTCATTTTTAATTAACGTAGATGCTATATCTTGTTACGTATAAGGAAAAGTTGCCTTGTTAATATCAATTTTAGACTTGTCATTTTATAGTAAAGACGTGTCATTTTTAAACAAATTATGATCATTTTTAATTAATGCACATGCTGCTATTTGTTATGTATAAGGAAAAGTTGATTTGTTAATATCAAATTTAGACTTGTTATTTCTCAATTAAGACTTGTCATCCTCAGATAAATTGTTGTCACGAGCTGGAGTCACAGTAAAAAAGTTAACTTATATTTTTGCTTGTATTATAAGGTTAAGAAATCTTTGATAGCTCAATAGCCATTTTCCCTTTTGTTGGTCCAAGTGGCCAAGGGGTTGTGGGATCAAATCCCACCCCCGTCACTTTAAACCAATATTATCCCATTCTAAAAAAAAAAAAATCTTGTCACAAAAATCCTTCACCGGCAGCCACCACACCGATGGCCGGTGCCGGTGGCCAGAGGCGGTTGGCGGTCGCCGGTTGTCGGCCACCGGTGAGGGGCTGGGTTTTTTTTTAAAAAAAAAAAGAACAAAGGGTATTTTTGTCATTTCATTGAATTTCAAAATTCCAATTTGGGAAGGACTTCCCTATGGGTAATTACATTTCCTTAGCTTCCCAAATTGGCATTTCACATTTTGGAGCTTTTTTATCTGTCATTTTCCCTAGAAATAAATAAATAAATATGAGAGAAAAAGTAGATTGGGGTTTTATATTTACAACTAAAATAAAAGTTAAAGAAAGTCTTATATTAAGGAATGTAGGTAATATTTAAATAGATTACTGTAATATACTACTCGCTTATCCTATTTTTAAGATTACTTTTGAAATTTAGTAAAATGTTTATGATGCATTTTCAAATAAATAACTCTAGCCGTGCTCCTCACTGTGAAAAAGAAATTTTAATTTTAACCTGTTTGAGAGTAATTTTTAAAAACTTACAATGACTTTTATACTTAACGAGTTTTAACTAATATTTCAATTCACGTGAAGTAATTGAGGGATAACAGCGGAGCAGTTGGGAACTTGTCGTTTCGAGAAAAAGAAAATCGTGCTCGGTACGATAAGAACATTATGACATCAAGTCGCACTTTTTTTTTTTTTTAAATATACAGTCAGAAGCACATCAATTTTGAGGACCACACTTGAATTCGGAGTCTGACACGTTCATTCTCAGCTTCCTTGCATATGATTTGAAATTTTGAATCTTTTTTATTATAAGTATTTCGCTTGAAACTTGATATGTGATTATTTGATTCCCATAATAATGATTTGATTCAAAACTAACGCGTGTGTAGGGTTGCCTGGATGAGCTGAAAATAAGTATTTTTACATTTTATAAAATAAAATTTCTTTCACATATTCATCCTGTAAGGCATAAATCACTTCTTCACACTGTTAATTCAAATAAACAAAATGTTAATATCTATTATTTTTTTCCTAATCACTGATAGAGTGAATGGGATATACTCCAAATAAGAGATATATAACGGTTGATGTAGAGCCTCAAAAAATATAATGAATTATGCTATTTCAGAAATAAAAATTATGCAATAAATACCCCAAATTTAATATAAAATCTTAATATCTCCATTATTTATGACACCTACTTCTTCTCAACTCCATGCAATGCGAGTCTTAGTAGTTGGTTTAGAAACTTAACATATGAAGTTATTAGTGTAAAAAAGTACTTACTACTCTCTCGTCCCTAATATAAGATTCAATTAGAAAAGATTAATATAGTTAAATAAATTATTTTAAAGTGTTATATTTATCTTCTTCTTTTTTAAACTAATTTGTTCAGTTTATAAACTAATATATAAGCTAATGATACACACAATGCAAATAGTTTAGAGAGATATATAACATATGCTATAATTAAATAAGTTTTTGATTTTATTAATTTTCTTAAATTAGTCAACCAGGTCTTATATTAAGTACCAAAGGTAGTACCACCTCTGGTCCTTAATGTAAGAGCTCATTTGATTTTTAATTTAGTTTTAAATATAAGATCACAATATACTTTGTATGTCATAGTTATCTATTTTTTTAAATAGTTTTTGTAATAGTTGTACATGTTAAAAATTTCATTAAATAGAATTCTAGCTAATACACATAATTGGTAAGGGTATCTTAGGAAAGACAACATATATTTATTACAAATAACTAACTTAACAAACTTTATTAATCTATTCAAATTAGTTAACTAGATGTTATATTAAGAATTGGAGGTGGTATCATAATTTTGTGTTCGTTAGTTGAGGAATAGAAGTGGTAGTAGTATTTTGCACTAGTGTTGCCTCTTGTGCTACAAGATGGATGATGGGAAATTATTTGTAGAGAGATTCTCTAACAATAGTTAACCTAATCCCGACGAAGGAACTTCACATGTTTAATTTTATGTAGCCAAGCGTGCTTGTTGAGAGAATCTAAGTAAAGGCCTTTAGATTTCTGATAATAATGTTAATGAAACGGTCAGTTTGAAGCAACTACGTACATTATTATATGATGTTCAAAAAAATGGGGATAATATAAGAATAGCAAAAGATGGATCCATATCTATGGCGGTCTATGGGTTCCCTTCCTAAAGAGATTCTTTAAAATTTTAAAATTTGTGGTTTACAAAGATCCTTCACGCGACGACCAAGACTATTCATATATATTAGAATATTTCTATATTAGAAAGAAGTTGGCGATGTATGGTTATCCTTTAGTTATGCGTGTCTTTAGACTTGTGTCATTTTTTATTCCATTTATGTTTCCTATGCTTGTGATTGGGATTCAAAAAAAATGTAAAGAAGATATTAATAGTTTTTTTTCTCCTAATGTTATTCTTCTTTTTCATTTTCGTAAGCGTGGTATGCTAAACTCAGACGCCCACATATTCAACCCACGTGATGTGTTTTATTTTTTAATCAAATGGAATAATATTATGGCTGTACAATGTTAGTGCAAAAAGATAAACAAAACCAATTAATATTGTGTTTTAGGCACCAATGATCGATGTGTTAGTCATCCGCTTCAATATATACGTACGTACATACGGATATTTGTTAGAAAAGAAGTCTATATATATAATAATGAGAGGTATCATATATGCGAATCATTTTCTTAACACGTTTTTGTGTAGGACTGGATTTAAATTGCCTATTTGCCCTTTGTTCTATATGTTTTTTATTTCGAGTCATTTAATCTGCATGATGTGTTATACTTTTGTGTAATATACACATGCATATACATACTCTTTTGAGCTCTAAAAGTTAAAACTAAATAACTAATTAATGTATATGAATTAAGAAAATTAGTGAAATTAGTTGTTTATTAAAAAGATATGTACATTTTCCAAAACTATATATCTTATTAATGGAAACTCTTTTGAACATGAACAAATAATGATGATAATTTGAGGGGGAGAAATAAGTTTAAAAGTCAAAGTACATTGAAGTGGTCAAAACAAACATGTCAATTAACTTATAGCAAAAGAAAGTATGTAGAGAGACACTAATAGCTAATGACCTCCTGATTTTCATACAAAGGAACATTCACGCCGTTAGATTATAAGAACTAGTTTTGATACTCATCACAATAACTTAGATTATAAAACTTTACTTTCTTAAAATGTGAGTTGGTACTTCATAGGATTTGATGACAAGAATTCTCATCCTTAACTATGAGGTAAGGTGAGAATCCCTTTAATTAAAATGGTTCAAATTCTCACTTGGCACACTAACCATAAATATATATATATATATATATATATATATGAAGGACCAACAACGTCCAAATTAAACAAAGAAAGTTCGAACAGAGTAAAA